CTCTCCCCCCCTCCCTCCCCCCCTCTCCTCTCTCTTTAAAAAAAAAATAGAACTGGTGATCAAACAGGCTGGATAGGTAGGTGAGGTAAAAGGACAAGTCTACAATGACTTCCACGGTAATGGTGGAAATGTTTGGATTTTTATAGTTTTTCTTATTTATTTTAAATCTTGGAGATAATCAAAATTACACTATATTAAAAAAATACCACCTATTTATGTTTTTGCTTTCCACAGTGATATCAGAACATACTGATTCTCAGCCTTCAAATAAGCCCATAACCTGTGGTGGTGGCAGTGGCATCATACAAAGCACAAAAGCACTTATTTTGAAAAGTGAATACATAAGGCTAGAAAAGGAAATTTCTAAGTTAAAGCAGCAAAATGAGCAACTAATAAAGCAAAAGAATGACCTGCTGAGGTAAGATTTGATTGTGTGATACAGATAATGTGCTTATGGCTGTTACATCGGTTGGGTGGGGAGATTGTATTTTGTATAGTTGACAGCCCTTCATATGTTATGAGGAAAGTAAATTTTAGAGTTTATATAGTAGATGCCTTTAAAAAAAGAATATACTACCACCAACCCAGATGTTTTCATCAACTAACCTGTTTTTAACTAAGTCAAGAAAGTAAACAAAGACTTTTGAGGGGACAGGAGAGATATACCACAAGTCAATGAAGCTATACTCAACAGAGAACCCTTTAATTCTGTTACCATAGCCTATTTACTTTTACTTTATAAACAAAGCTAACAAGTGTAAAAGATCATTATGAAAGAGCAAATCTAGGTGTTGGAGAGAGAATGTGGTGATAAAAAACTTAAACTCTAAGAATAGATCTAAAAAATGAACAGAAATTAGGTCAGATGAAACAAATGTAATTTTTTAAAATTTTTTTATTCTAATTTGTTACATGACAGTAGAATGCATTGTAATTCATATTGCACATATAAATCATAATTTTTCATATCTCTGGTTGTATATAAAGTATATTCACACCATTAATGTCTTCATACATGTTCTTAGGGTAATTATATCCATCTCATGACACCCTCATTTCTACCCCCATGCCCTCTCCTTTCCCCTCCGACCCCTTTGAGTTCTAATCTTCCCATGCTCCCCCTCCCAACCCTACTATTAATCAGCCTCCTTATATCAGAGAAAACATCTGATATTTGGTTTTTTGGGATTGGCTAACTTCACTTAGCATTATATTCTCCAACTGCATTAATTTACCTGCAAATGTCATGACTATATTCTCTTTTATTGCTGAGTAATATTCTATTGTGTATATATACCACATTTTATTTATCCATTCATCTACTGAAGGGAATCTAGTTTGGTTCCACAGTTTAGCTATTGTGAATTGTGCTGCTATAAACATTTATGTGGCTGTGTCTCTGTAGTATGCTGTTTTTAAGTCCTTTGAGTATAGACCAAGGAGTAGGATAGCTGGGTCAAATGGTGATTTCATTCACAGTTTTCCAAGGAACCTCCTGCTTTCCATAATGGCTGCACCAATTTGCAGTCCCACAAAATGTATGAGTGTGCTTTTTTGTTGTTGTTGTTTGTATTTTTAATAGCTGCCATTCTGACTGGAGTGAGATGAAATCTTAAGAGTAGTTTTGATTTGCATTTCTCCAATTGTTAGAAATGATGAACATTTTTCATATATTTGTTTATTGTATATCATCTTCTGAGAAGTGTCTGTTCAGGTCCTTGGCCCATTTATTGATTGTGTTATTTGGTTTTCTGGTGTTTAGTTTTTTGTGTTCTTTTTATATCCTGGAGATTACTGCTCTTTCTGATGTGTAAGGGGTAAAAATTTGTTCCCAAGATGTAGGCTATTTTCCTCACTGATTGTTTCTTCTGCTGAGAAAAATTTTTTTAGTCTGAAATCATCCCATTTATTGATGCTTGATTTTAATTCTTCCGCTATAGGAGTCTTATTAAGTCTTCCTTTAGTCGGGACCTAATCCCACATGATGAAGATTAGGGCCTATTTTTTCTTCTATTAGAACAGGGTTTCTGGTTTAATTCGTAGGTCCTTGATCCACTTTGAATTGGGTTTTATGCATGGTGAAAAGGTAGGGGTTTGATTTCATTTTGTTGCATATGGATATCTAGTTTTCCCAGCATCATTTGTTGAAGAAGCTATCTTTTCTCTGATGCGTGTTTTTGGCACATTTGTCTAATATAAGATAATTCTAATTTTCTGGGTTAGTCTCTGGATCCTCTATTCTGTACCATTGGTCTACTAGTCTGTTTTGGTGCCAATATCCACCGTTTTGGTTACTATCACTCAATAGTAGGGTTTAAGTTCTGGTATAGTGATGCCACCTGCTTCACTCTTCCTTCTAAGGATTGCTTCAGCTATTCTGGGTCTCTTTATTTTTCCAGATGAATTTCATGACTGCTTTTTCTATTTCTATGAGGAATGCCATTGTGATTTTGAGTGGAATTGCATTAAATCTGTATAGTGCTTTTGGTAGTATAGTCATTTTGATAATATTAATTCTGCCTATCGAAGAGCAGCGTAGATCTTTCCATCTTCTAAGGTCTTCTTTGATTTCTTTTTTTAGGGTTCTGTAGTTTTCATTGTATAGGTCTTTCACCTCTTTTGTTAAGTTGATTCCCAAGTATTTTATTTTATTTTATTTTAGGCTATTGTAAATGGGGTAGTTTTCCTCACTTCCCTTTCAGAAGATTTGTCACTGATATACAGAAATGCCTTTGATTTATGGGTGTTGATTTTATATCCTGCTACTTTGCTGAATTCATTTACTAGTTCTAAAAGTATTCTTGTGGAACTTTTGGGGTCTTCTGGGTATTGAATCATATCATCAACAAATAGTGCTAATTTGAGTTCTTCTTTTCCTATTTGTATCCCTCTAATTTCTTTCATCTGTGTAATTGCTCTGGCCAGTGTTTCAAGAACTATATTATGTTTTTAGAAGGTCTTTTTTCTCCACTTAGAATGATGTTGACCTGGGGCTTAGCATAGATAGCCTTTATGATGTGAGAAATGTCCTTGGTATCCCTCATTTTTCTAGTGTTTTGAACATGAAGGGGTGCTGATTTTGTCGAATGCCTTTTCTGCATTTATTGAGATGGACATATGATTCTTTAAGTCTATTTATGTGATGAATTGCATTTATTGATTTCAGTATGTTGAACCAAGCTTTCATCCCTGGGATGAATCTCATTTGATCATGGTGCACAATCTTTTTGATATGTTTTGTGTTTGATTTGCCAGAATTTTATTGAGAATTTTTGCATCTATGTTCGTTAGAGAGATTGGTCTGAAGTTTTCCTTTTTTGATGTGTCTTTGCCTGGTTTTGGAATCAGGATGAGATTGTCCTCATAGAATGAGTTTGGAAGTACTCCCTCTTTTTCTATTTTGTGAAATAAATTGAAGAGTATTGGTTTTAGTTCTTCTTTAAAGGTCTTGTAGAACTCAGCTGTGTATCCAAACTGTCCTGGGCTTTTCTTGGTTACTAGGCTTCTGATGGTGTCTTCTATTACATCGCTTGATATTGGTCTATTTAAATTGTGGATATAATCCTGATTCAATTTGGGCAAATCATATGACTTAAGAAATTTGTCTATGCCTTTGGTATTTTCTATTTCATTGGAGTACAAATTTTCAAAATAATTTCTAATTATCTTCTGTATTTCTGTAGTGTCTATTGTGATACTACCTTTTTCATCACGTATATTAGTAGTTTGAGTTTTCTCTCTCCTTCTCTTCATTAGCATAGCTAAAGGTCTATCAATTTTATTTATTTTTTCAAAGAACCAGCTTTTTGTTTTGTCAATTTTTTCAATTGTTCCTTTTGTTTCAATTTCATTGATTTCAGCTCTGATTTTAATTATTTCTTGCCTTCTACTGCTTTTGGTGTTGATTTGTTCTTTTTTTAGGGTTTTGAGATGTAATGTTAGGTCATTTATTTGTTGGCTTTTTTTTCTTTTAAGGAATGAGCTTCATGCAATGAACTTTCCTCTTAGTACTGCCTTCATAGTGTCCCAGAGATTTCGATATATTGTGTCTGTGTTCTCATTTACCTCTAAGAATTTTTAATCTCCTCCTTGATGTCTTCTCCAACCCATTATTTATTCAGTAGCATATTATTTAGTCTCCAGGTATTGGAGTAATTTTTATTTTTTATTGGTCATTGATTTCTAATTTGATTTTATTAAGATCTGATAAAATGCAGGGTAGTATCTCTACTTTTTTATATTTGCTAAGAGTTGCTTTGTGTCATAGTATATGGTCCATTTTACAGAAGGATCCATGTGCTGCTGAGAAAAAAGAGTATTCACTTGTTAAAGGGTGAAATGATCTATATATGTCAGTTAAGTCTAAGTTATTGATTGTATTATTGAGTTATATAGTTTCTTTGTTCAGCTTTTGTTTGGAAGATCTATCCAGTGGTGAGAGAGATGTGTTAAAGTCACCCGAGATTATTGTGTTGTGGTCAGTTTGACTCTTGAACTTGAGAAGAATTTGTTTGATGATCAAAGATGCTACATTGTTTTGATTGTTATGGCGTGGTGTATGGTTACCTTGCACAGTATGAAATGTCCTTCTTTATTCCTTTTGATTAACTTTAGCTTGAAGTCTCCTTTATTTGATACGAGGATGAAAACCCCTGCTTGTTTCTGCAGTCCATGTGGGTGGTATGATTTTCCCAACCTTTCACCTTCAGTCTGTATATGTCTTTTCCTATCAGATGAGTCTCCTGGAGGCAGCATATTGTTGGGTCTTTTTTTTTTTTTTAAATCCATTTTTTGATGGGTGAGTTTAGGCCATTAACATTCAGAGTTATTATTGAGACATTATTTGTATTCCTAGCCACTATTGCTTATTTTTGGTATTTAACTTCACTTGGTTTCTCCTTTGATTGGTTTTTCCTTTAGGGTACTACCTCCCTCTGATGATTTTCATTGTTTTTCGTTTCCTCTTCATGGAATATTTTACCAAGGATGTTCTGTAGGGCTGGTTTTCTAACTGTACATTTTTTTAACTTTTGTTCATCATGGAAGGTTTTTATTTCATCATCAAATCTAAAGCTTAATTTTGCTAGATATAAGATTCTTGGTTGGCATCTATTATCTCAGAGCTTGAGATACATTGTTCCAGGATCTTCTAGCTTTCAGAGTCTGGGTTGAAAAATCTGCAGTTACCCTAATTGGTTTTCCCCTATATGTAATCTGATTCCTTTCTCTCATGGCTTTTTAATATTCTGTCCTTATTCTGCTTGTTGGGCATTTTCATTATAATGTGCCTTGGTATGGATCTGTTGTGATTTGGTGTCCTGTAAGCTTCTTGAATTTGGTTTTCCAATTCATTCTTCAGTTTTCTGATTTTATTTCATTGAATAGATTGTTCATTCCTTGGTTTGAAATTCTATGCTTTCCTCTATCCCAAGCACTCTTAAATTTGGACTTTTTATGATATCCCATATTTCTTGAATGTTCTGCTCATGGTTTCTTACCATTTTCACTGTGTGGTCTACATTTTTTCATTTTGTCTTTATTGTCTGAGGTCCTGTCTTCCAAGTGGTCTACTCTGTTGGTGATGCTTTCTGTTGAACTTTTAATTTGGTTTATTGTTTCTTTCATTTCAAGGATTTGTTTGTTTTTGTTTTTGTTTTTTTAGAACCTCTATCTCCCTGTTGAAGTAATCTTTTGCTTCCTGTATCTGTTTATGTAGCTCGTTGTGGAAATGATCTTTTGCTGCCTATATTTGCTCTCTTATACCATCCTTTAATTCACAGACCATTGTAACCATGTACATCCTAAACTCCTTCTCTGTCATTTCTTCTGCTGTGGCTGCTAATGATTCTAATAATGTGGTATCTTGATTTGTTTGGGGCACTTTTCTCCCTTTTGCTTGTGTATCTTTCTTTTCAGCTCTGTGGGTCCAGGGTGTTATTGTTTTTACCCTATAAGCTTATGGTGTTCCTGTAGGGTTCCAATATATCTCCTTTGTGGGGAAGGACAATGTTAACAGATCCCAATATAAACAATATACCACCTATAAACAATTCATTGCTATTAAGACCTATACAGTTTGGTCACAATGTACAGAAATGTTGAATTTGATTATTATCTATAATGTAATCAGTAGGTTTGTAAAAGGGTTTACAGTTTCTGACAGTGTACAATGAACTGGGAATGAAGTGTAGGATGATATGCTGAGGAGGCAGGATGTGAGAATATAGTTAGTATATCTTAGGAAGTGTGAAAGAGAAATAATGAAGAGCGTTAGTAGCAGGAGAATAGATAGGAAGTAGTTTGGGGTAGATAAGTATGTGAGAAGACAGTAGAGTACATAAAACAAATACATATGTATTATGAAAAATAAAGGATATTAAAATAGTAAAAATTGGAGGAAAAAAAGGCATATTCAACACCAGTATAATATACTATTCAGACGTTCCAGTCCTCAAAATCCTAGTTGATACAAAGTACTTGTTTTCACATATGTTGAGGATGGGAGGGTAGGAGGATAGAGGGGGAGAAGAAAAAGAGAAAAAAAGTTAAAAAAATAAATAATAATAATAATGAAAAAAAAATTTTTAAATCTCAAAGAAAGAAACTAGGATTGTTAATTGTTTTGGTTGGAGATGAGTCTCTTTCCTGCTTCCCGTTCCCTTCAGTAGGTGGGTTTGTTGTTAGATGGTATCTCCACCCTCATGATAGTGAAGGTAACCAGGGTGGGAATGCTGGTTCTGGGACAGGGCACCTGGATGTGAGGTGTGGCACCCGCCAGTCCCTGTAGGGAGACTGCACTTCAAAGGTCTCTTTTTGGTTCTGCTCCTATGACTTGAGCACCTGGTCCTATCTCCCTATCTTGCCTGAAGGTTTCCCAGTTCCTGGTCTCTCTATTAGCCTCCACACTGTCTTACCTTCTCCTTCTAGGGACCTCTCCCACTGGGGCTCACTTGGGCGGTGCCCTGGTCGCACTGCACACCCATCCCACTGAGAGCTGTTTTATGTTTGGTAGTTACTGTTCTGGGTTACTGGCCACTGGGAAGAGGCCGGAGTTGGAAACTGGGTACCTGGTCAGTGGAAGTTCCGATCTGGGAGCTGCCCCCACCAAACATAGTGATGAAGGTATCCCAAGATGGAGGCAGGCCTAGTCGGTAGAGGAAGCCTGGCAATAGTGTGTGATGTGTTCAGAGATGAGCTCTGTGGCGTGCAGCCTTCGGGCTTTTGGCTGTCTTCAGAGCCCGTGAGATGTCCCTGGATGCAGGTAGATTACCGCATAGGGGAATATGGCAGTAGCTGCAGAGTCAGTCACAAGATGGAGACGACTTGGGGAGTCTCACATTGGTAGATGGGGTCTACAGGGGAGTGGCGGCGGAGTTCCTATGGGTGGGAAGTGACTGATTGTACTGTGTTGGTGTGGAGCAGCATCTGGGAGTTCTGTACCTGTGCTGATGCAGTGATCCTGCTAATACACTCGGGAACTCTGTGTGGGCTAATGCTTCGGGGCTAGTATTTGGGTGGGGGGAGACAGGAGCCTGGAGTCCTGCTCCAACACTGAGCCCCAGAGCCCTGCGCAGGCACAGTACTGGTGATTTCTGTGCAAGAGCAGCTGTTTAGGGGTTCCCTATCACTCTCAGAGAAGCAGTATTCCCACTTGGTGAGACCTGGGTCACAGAGCAACCCAGAATGCTGCCTCCCTCTGGCTCGCCATCTTGGATTCCCCCAAGAAATGTAATTTTTTAAATAAAGCTTCATCAAACAAGATTTGTCTGTCCAGAAAGACTAATTTATCACATCAAAGACTAAATTATTACATCAAAATATCAATAGACAAACCAATCCAGATGATATCAGTTAATTTGAAAACCTAGTATTATACTTGGAATTTCTAAACTCTATGATGACAAAGTTTTACTGAAATTATTCAATTTATATAGACCCATTTCACTTTTTGAACTGTGGAAATAGTCCAAACAAAAAGCATTAGGTTGAAATTAAAATATTAATGTGGTAAAATGGTAAATTTTATGTTAAGTATATTTCACCACAGTTTTTTATCGATTTTTTTTTATGTGGATACGTTTTAAGAACTGAACAGTCTAGCAAACTTCCTTTTTATTTATTTATGTATCTTTCTTACCTACACTTAAGCAATAATCAGCATCTTTCCAATGAGGTCAAAACTTGGAAGGAAAGAACCCTTAAAAGAGAGGTTTGCAAAGAAGTAACTTGTGAGAATTCTCCAAAATCTCCCAAAGTGACTGAAACAGATTCTAAAAAGATACAAAATATACCATCTCAATACAAGGAACAAAATGTACAAAATCCAGTACCAAAGGAATCTCCAAAATCTTGGTTTTTTGATAACCGATCCAAGTCTTTACCAGCACCTCGTCCAGTTCGTTATTTTGATAACTCAAGTCTCGGCCTTTGCCCAGGTAAGTAAATATAAAGGTTAATTGGAAGCCAGGGGATAACATTTGGAACTTGTCTTTAATATTTGGCCCCAAATGTCAAGTTTAGATAAGAAATTTGGTTAAGCAAGCTTCAGTGCACAGACTTTGTTTGCTGACCCTCTGTAAGAAAGTCAGTTTTTCTCCAAAGCACAGTGACATGTAGTCACTCTTACACCAACTGAAGTCTTTATTCTGCCTCTACAGTTTTCTCCAAAGACAGACAAGCAACAAATTAAGGACATAAAGAAACTACCCTATAAACAAAACTGCTACTAAAAAGGCTTTCAAGTCAATTTAAGTGGGCCTGTCATTTCATTGACATGTTCATTTTACACAAGCCAGATGATGGATTACGATATGTACTTATTCATTTAATGAGAAAAATCTTTTGAATCCCCACTCTAAGGATACATTGATAAATAAACCAGACAATAATCAAGTACAGACAATAATCAAGTACAGATGTTTCCCTAATATATTACTACAGTATGTATCATAGTATGGGTAGTACAGTATTTCCCTGCTATGTTAACCACAGGATCTTTTGACTTTGCAGTGGTGTGAAAGCATACCCATGTAAGTATTATGATTTTCAGTTTTGGACAGTATTCCAAAAAATTACACAGGGTATTCAATATTCACCAGTAGGCTTTGTGTTAGATTGTTTTGTCTAGCTGTAGGCTAATGTCATTGGTCTGAGCATATTTAAGGTAGGTTAGATAAGTAAGCTATGACATTCTATAGATGAAGGTATTAAATGCATTTTTTACTTCAGCTATCTCTACTTGAAATGCACTTATTAGGATGTAACTCAATCATAAATCAGGGGAAAATTATATTTTTTAAGTAAAGTTTTAGAAATACAAAAGTCTATGAGACATATAATAGGTACTTTTGTTGTTATTGTTGTTTAGGAATATTGAGGAAGTCTTCCTCCAGGAAGGGAACTGAGATATAAAAGACTAATGTGAATTAGCTTAACAAAGTGGGGGAGGGAAAGAAATTTCAGGCAGATGAAACAGTGACAGCCTCAGTGTAGGAGAGACCACGACCAGGGGTAGAGAAATGTGGTGTCACCACTGAACAGTCTAGCAATCATGTGGATAAAGCCAGGCCAAAGAGAGAAAGAGGTAAGTCAGATGTGCAGAACTTCCATAAATTACATAAAGGAATTTTTAGTTACCCTGAGAGTAGGTGGAAGTAGTCTTTGAAATATTTTAAGCAATTGAGGGCCATTGTTAAGTAAAATAAGGGTTACTTGAACACAGACGCTGCAATACTGCTACAGTCCATCTGGTAACTGAGATGGCTGCCAGGTGACTGGAGTGTGGTAGAACATGCATACAGCATGGATACACCAGGGTGGGATGGAGTGGAACAATGAATTTCATCACCACTCAATGTGGCATGCTATTTAAAAGTTCTGAATTTTTTATTTTTAGAATTTTCTATTTAGTATTTTTGTACCATGATAGATCACAGATAACTGATATCTCTTTAACAGGATTAATTTTGGCTTTTATTTTCTTTGTCAGAGGAACAAACCATAGGAGCAGAATGTGTGGATCCTAAGCCAGGTCCTTGGTACACCTCCGGAAAAGATGCACCCCAGTGCAAAACTCAGTAGGCTCCCCTCTGTCACTTTTCTGGAGGCCTTGCATTCCATGTTTGGAAATGATGCTGTTACTATGTGTGTCTATTCATGGCAGTGATGTCACAATCCAACTTAACTTCAATTTATTTTTCACTTTGCCACTAGAATTAGAAAATAAAGGAACAACAAATTAATTTATTCCAGTAATTTAGAATAATGACAGCTATACCTTCTTCTTGCATGTGGTAACACTTTTTTAAAAAGTTTAATTGTATTATTTATTTATATATATTGCAAAGAATAAAATTATTGAAGGAAATTTCCTCTCATAAATTGTATGTTTTTATTAATGTAAACTTATTCACTTTTGACTTTATTAAAAATTATAAATTATTTACATTTATTAAAAATTAAAAACTTTTTTATCTAATACCTTGAACATTCATTAAATGTTTAATTAGTATTTCTGAATCACAACTCCATGTACTATTAAAGATTTCTTAGTGAGATTCTCTCTTCGTGCTGTCTTTCAGGATTTTGCTATGAAATTATACACATATTTTCTTAAATTCTTAAAGGATAGCAGAAGCTCTTTCCTCTTAACTTGTGGTCATAATCTTCTTATGCTTTAATAACTACAAAACTTCTTTCTGACTTTTCTGTTAACCAGCTCATCCCATTCCCCATGCAAGTATTCCAAATAGGTTAGTATATTATTAGACTTTGTTCTTCATTGCACTTCAGTGGAAGAACTTCATAGATCATTTATCCTACCTCTTCAATTTAGGCATGAGGAAACAGTACTCAAGTTGTGTGAACCTGAGGTTCCCACAGATATATTAGGCATATATGGATGGGTTTTAAACAAGCTGTAAAACTTCTGAAATTTTAGGCAAACGTTTGTATGTGGATTTTTTTTCTAGGGTCCATACTTTATGTTTTTAAAGAATATCTAATATTTTATATCATGATTTTGAAAAACCACTTAAAATAGCAACTTCCTAGGGTTATAGGACAGAGTTAATGTGATTTTCCCTTAACATAGAGGAGCTCAGTGGCAGAATACTTGCCTAGCATGTGTGAGGCACWGGGTTTGATCCTTAGCACCACATAAAAAAATAAATAAAATGAAGGCATGATGTCCATCTACAACTACAAAAAAAATTTTTTTTAATATATTGTCATAGGAATTTATTAGTGTTAAGGGGAAATTGTCCCTTTTTATAACCTTTTCTCCTCAGACCTGACCCATATAAAACAGAGCTGCAGGTTTGATTCTCCTCCTACCCTTCCCACCCCTACCCAGGATTGGAGATTGAATTCAGGGCCTCACACATACTAGGAAAGCACTCTACCACTGAGCTTTATCCCCAGCCCTTTTTATTTTTTGAGACAGGGTCTCACTGAGTTGTCCTTGAACTCTTGATTTTCCTGCCTCCACCTCCTGAGTCATTGGGATTATAAATGTATACCACTGCACCCAGGTTAAATATTTTTCATGTTTATTTCTTCACTGAACAAAAATAACTTTAAGTAGTGGATAAATTTAAATCCTTTAAAAATATAGTCAGCTATCCAGTTTAGGATACTGTTGTTTAATTCCTGAATTTGGGGGGTTTGGGATCATACTTTCCTCAAATAAGCTCTCTTATTTCTTCTTCTTTTGGAGAAGATGTGTGTCTGTGTATTGGACCTCTTTATGATGTTCCACAGTCCCTTAGGATTATCTTCAAGCTTTCTGAATCTTCTACTTGCTCAAGTTTGGTGTTGAACTCCCCTAGTGAATTGTTCAATTTAGTGATATATTCTTCAGTTTCAGGGTTGCTTTTTTATAGTTTCTCTTTGTTGATAATCTTGTTTTTTTCATGCATTGTTTTCCTAAYTTAATTGTACATTTTCCCTTATAGATCACTGAATGTCTTTAAGGTGATTGTTTTGAATTCTTTGTTAGGTAATTCATAGATGCCATTTCTTTGGGGATTTATGTTTGCCCTTTGGGCCATGTTTCTGTTTCTTCATGTACCTTTTTTTTTTTTCTTCCTTCTGAGATTTGTGCATTAAAAACCATAAACCAGGTGAGGTGGCACATGCTATAGTCCTAGGAAACTGGATTAAGGCAGGAGTATTACTCAAGTCCAGGAATTTGAGGCAAGCCCAAACAACATTAAGACCCCATCTCAAACTAAACAAAATGAAATATTTTAAATTAAAAAAAAAAGAGAGAGAGAGAGAAAGAAAAACCAGCCACCTCTCTGTCTTTGTGAATTGATTTTGACAGGAAATCTTAACTAATCAGTGTAAATAGGAGTTCTGGGGGCCTTGTTGTATCAACTTCTATGGGTTTATGCTTGTAATTTCTCATATAGAAAGGTTTGAAATTTTATTTTTCAGGAGTTTAAAACTCTGGTCCTCCCTGATGTCTCTGTTCAGTACTGCAGGTTCTCTTGCTGTAGTAGCTAGTCACCGACTCTCCTTTGTTCTCCCTTGAGAACAAAGGGGGAACCAGAGTTTCCAGGGGTCCAAACTATGACATTCCCCATAAGAACTCCACATTATACAAGACAGATACAAATCCCTCAACAAGCAGCTTTCTGGAGATCTACATAGATACATACTCCACTTTTCTCCCTCCATTCCCAAAATGAAGCTTCAAGTTAGGCAGTTTCTCCTAATTGTTATTGTGCTGAGCTGTGCAGACCTCTGCAGCTCTGCAGGTCCTCTGGTGCCACAGAAAGCCACCCCCTCTTTCTTGCTTTATGTCAGCTACCAGATTTCGAACCTATGTTATTGTGTCAGCACTCCAAGTCAGGAGCCAGAAACCAGCCCCTGAGTAACCAGAATATTAGACACATTCCACTCTCCCTGCCCAGGGTGAAGTTGCAGATGGGTGCTGAGCTATGATGACTTGAGGGAGGAGCAATCACAGGTAAAGTGGAACCATTCTTACCCATTTCATTGCAGACCTTCTCTGTTTTGCACTCAACCTGAGGCACTACAGCTTCTTAACTGGTTTCCCAAGTTCTCATAAGGGGATTTTAGTCTGTATATTGTTAACTCTGGGGAACAAGGGCTGGGGCTTCCTATTCCACAATCTTGCTGATGTCTCCTTCAGAATATTGTTTGATTCTTTCAAGTCTAAGTTTCAATATCCTGATGAGTGATTGTGAATCAACAATGATGAAAAACAGAATTGAAAAACTTTAAGAGTGTTAAAAAAGCAGTCATGTAGTCAGACGACATTAAAATGCTCTGAATGCAGATGTAGTTAAGAACATGTTAGAAAGGTCCTCCGTGGCCACACCAACTTTATGCATTCCACCCAGATCTCAGGGTATGAAAAACAAAGCCACATGAGAACCAAAACCAGACTCAGCAGTAAACCTGCAAATGCCAAGTTGAATTCTATTTCCTTTTCCTTCAATGAATTACAAGGCTCCTAAACAAGCTTCATTCAGTTCCCTTTCGATTCTCCGTTCCACCTAAATGGGAAGAGAGGAGACTCCAGGGGCAGGCTGAGGGTCCTCRGGAGGCTAGGGACCCAAGGATGGGGACTACAACCCCCRTAAACTGAGTACAGCCCTCGATGTACAATGWAGTCCACAGAAGTCAGGAAGGACCAAGAATCAAAGGCCAAATCAGGGATTCTCCAAATGTAATACAGTGCACCCATGACCATGGGTATACACTCAAGAGAAAGGAAAGCAGGGACCTCAACAGCTACTTGTACACAGCCAAAGGTAGAAGTAACTCAAGGGTCCCTCAAAGGTTGAATGGATAAACAAAATGTGGTATGTATATGCAGCAGAATAGTATTTGGCCTTAAGAATCTGGAGGATATTACACCAAGTGAAATAAGCCAGAAACACAAAAAACAAATACTGTAAATACTGCATGATTCCACTCAGAGGAAGAAAGCGTAGGACCCAAATTCATAAGGACAGAAAATGAAACAGCAGCTGGCAGGGCTGAGGTAGAGGGGAGTGCCCTATTTAATGGATACAGAGTTTCAATGTGGGAAGATAAAATTCTGAAGATAGTTGGTAATGATGGCTGCCCAATATTATGATAGTACTTGATGTACTCTGGACACGYACACTATAGTTAAGATGGTAAATTAAATATAAAAGTATTGCAAAATATTTTTATATCTGTTACACAAACTATCTCACACACACATATGAGTTTCATCAGAGGCCAGCCCAGAACAAGAGCAGTGAGATGTTCCAGAAGGTTCACACTGGCTGGGGGCCATGTCTCAGG